GAACCGCCGAACTGCAGATAACAGTCAGCTGAAGTGGCCTGCAGTACTGCACTCCTAACCACTGCGCCACCTGGGCTCAGTGAGGAGGGCGAGGGGCTTGATGGCTGAATCCCACCAATAGCAGTTCAAGGATCTTGCCTACCATTGGCTACCGGCAAGACTGGCAAAGATGTTTAAAGATAAATCAGCTAAATGTTGGCATTGCCACCAGACACCGAGCTCGCACTATCATATGTGGTAGACCTGCGCAGAAGCAAAAAAATATTGGACTACAATACATAGGTGGCTGGAAAAAATGATACAACAACATATTGACTTAAAACCTGAAATATTTTTGCCGGGGGTTTTACCAAAAAATTATAATAAAGAAAAAGTGACTATTCATGTTATAACAGCAGCTAGGATTCTATTTGCACAAAATTGGAAAAGTTAAGAGACCCCTACAGAGGAGAATGTGATTAGGACAATATTAGAATGTGCAGAAACGCACAGGTTAGCACTGGCTATCAAAGAGAAAGAACAAAACCCATTATTATACAATTTGGGAATCTTTTTGCCGGTGGTTAGAGAATAGAACTAAGAATTAATAGTAAAATAGGTTATCCAAAGTATAGAAAATGTATTAATAGTCAATATAACTAATAGATTTAAGTAAATTACAATGGGATTTTTATAATATTAGATACTTAAGGTATTAGAAATTAAGATAAAATGAGATTGAATTATGAATAAGATTGTATATTTGAATGTTGGTACAAAATATGTATACCCAGATGACACACTGGTTAATGGAAAATGGATTGTTTATATATAAATAATATTTTTTTTAAAGGATCTTGGCTACACTCGGCCCAAAGCAGAGAAGTCGGAGGGGGGACACGACAGCCGCCTTTCCAACCTTGAGGGGCTGACCCAGAAGAGGAGTGTGGGCTACTCCCGGGGGCCAGAAAAGGACCCAGTGGAAGAAGCTTGCAGGAGACAAGCTCAAAGGGAGGGGGATTTCCAGGTATGAAATGGTGGAACCGCCGGCTTCCTGGTATTGCAGGAGCTTTCAAACAAAGATTGGACAGGCCTACCGTTGCCCCAGGCCCTTCCGGGGCAGAGGAGGGCCAGGTAGATACCTCTCTGCCCGCTCACTCAGCCAGCCGCAGGGGTAAGCAGCAGAAGAGAGTGGAAAGAGAGACAGGGCGCTCCAGAGCCTCACCAGAGGAACGACAGCCCTCGGGCGTTTTCCGAAGGCTGAAAAGAGCGCCAGAAACATGGTGAGATGAGCACCAGCTTTCGCCACGGCCTGTGGCTCTTTCTCCTTTGGGAAACATCACATCGGCTCGTTTCCCACAGCAGCCGTGCTCCACGTCGGCTGAGCAGGCTTGGCAGCAGCTGCATGGAGGGAGGGGGCCGGTCAGGACGGGGGGAGGGGGCCGGTCAGGACGGGGGGCGGGGGGGAAGGCTCCTACCCAGTGGGCCTAGCCGGATGAGGCCCACGGAAGGGGAGGCCGTTTTGAGGGCAGGAGCGCTGCGAAGCGCCTGCAGCTTTATCACGTGATCGAAGGGACGCTACAACGCCTGGCGCTGTATGTCTCTTTGTTCAGCGCGGTCGGAATTCTGAACGGTTGTGGAAGAAACAGTTGTAAGTCGAGGACTAGCTGTAAAGCTCACCCACGCGTCTCTTATTTATATTCAGGCTGCGAGACGGGCTCATTGCTACAGGGATCTCACTGCTTTAGTTTCGGGTGACCTGAAATCGATCCGTTTTACGTTCCCGTGCCACTAAGGAGCGCGCCTGTGCTTGCTCAGTGACCGGCCAGAGCGCAGAGCCCAGGGAAACAGGGGGACCACTGTGTTCTTTAGCCCCCCCCCCCCCCCCTGGAAACAAGGTGGATACGCACAACCAGGGGCGGTGAGGGGCGTCCCCTGGCCGAGGCTGAGCTTCTTCCGTCTCCCCACCCCAGTCGTACCGGTTGCCCGCTACATCCAGGACGTGCAGCTCAGCGGTGCCAGCAAGCTCCGGGGGCAGCCAGTCCAGGCGGTTGTCCCGAAGGGAGAGGACGTTCAGGCTGCTGCAGCCCCCAATCTCTGCAGGGAGCACCTTCAGGCGGTTCCGGTCCACGTTGAGGTTGGTCAGCTTGGTGAGTTTCCCCAGAGACCTGGGGAGGGTCTGAGAGAAGAGCACCCACGGATGGGGGCATCAGACCGCCACCCTTGGCAAACCAGCTGGCTCATCTAACCCTAACCCCAGCTGCCCGAGGCACAGGGCAGGCACAGCCAACCTGCACGCCCACCTGTAGCAGGTTCTCGGTGAGGATGAGCTCCGACAGGTTGGCACAGTCCCCAATGGCTTCGGTCACCTCCGTCAGACGATTCTGGTCAACCTTCAGGATGGAGAGCTGCTTCAGCTGGCCTGAGGAAAGGTCAAGAGGGAGCACGGGTGACCCTGTGCAGCCAGGGAGGCCCCAGGCTGGGTCTGCAGGAAGCGATCCCTTTGGGGGCCTGAGCTCTCTCAGAAACGTGGGGCCACCAGCATGGTTCAGGGGGTTAAGGACAGAGCCGTTATATCCGGGAGCAGAGGAGCCGGAAGCTGCCCGGGCATTGGCTGGAGCAGCCCTTCCCCAGCGCTCCTCTCAGGAAACGCTTGTGCCCCCCTGGGCATCAGAGGGCAGAAGGCCTTTAACAAAAGCCCTATCTTATGCTTCCGCGCTCTCGTCTTATGCCCTCTTAACAGGAAAGTGCAGCAGAGACAAACGATACTAACAACGACAACATCAGCAACGACTTTTAACTTTATAAGGAAGGCTTAAAAGGTTTTGCCTCCATGAGCCTT